AATTCTGGGAGTTGAAGTCCACTCATCTTAAAGTGGCCAAGTTTGGACAACACTGATCTAGGGAAAAATGTCAAATACACTCTATGTTTAGCTGACCCAAGCCAAATTAAAACTGTAACTTGTGATGCTACTGTGATAACAAAACAGGCTTGCTTCTGCTTGCTTATTGTTGCATTTAAGAATTTCACAACATGAAGTACAGAGGGTTAGATTTGTGTTCCGTGAACAATTCAACATGGCTACTGTTGGTGCCACCAAACCTTCCACCATTTTTGCAGTGGTTCATAATTGGAAGTCAGAGCCAATTTGCAGTTCTTGCAGCTGACCAATAAGCAGCCCAAAAAGTAGTGTTTGGTCACTCCTCCTTCTTGCCTTACCACTTTATTTTATGGTGGAAGAGGTGGAAAAAAGTACTGGCATAGTGGCAAAAAGCCACAGGTCTCAGTGCAAAGGTTTGGTGGCAATCAAGAAGTATAGTAACCAAAAGAAGGGAGGAATCACAGACCTGAAAAACTGACATTAGCAGGAATACCCACTAATGAGAACATTATCTATTGCTAATCAGTGGGAAAGCTCAAATGAAAGTTTTGTGAATTAAGATTTTGGACAATCAAATGGAAGAAAATCTATTTCTCTCTTCAAGGGTGAAATCAGCATAGGAACAAAGGGGTGTATCCCCATTGTAGGAATAATGCCAAAGCTCCATGTGGAAATGTGCCATGTGGAAGTAAAAAAGGGTGCAGGTTTATCCTGAATTCATTGAGAATGAGACTCAGAATAGAAGCATGCAAAGACTCTTGGCAACGAATACTATGCTGAAGCAGAGAAAACTTATTTTTAGGGTGAAAAATCACCAAAGGTCCTCTGTGGAACTAGAAAATGGCCATAGATTTGGGTATTATTTTGTAAAATAAAGCTGCAATGCTTCACGATTGATAATGAACCTCTTTGAAAACAATGGAATTGTCACCAAATCGTGTCTGTATTTCCTTAGAATAAAGTGTTGCCATAACTGAATATAGAATTATCTGAACTTGGCCTTG